CACACACACACACACACACACACACACACACACACACACATGTAGACCACACACACACACACACACACACACAATACATGTACATGTAGAGAAAACATGAAGGTCACAGTCCTACAAGTGTGGCAGTGTAAGGATGCCATATCCAAATGCAAACCAACATCGTCTTGGTTGTCCATTATCTTTTTTCCAAGCTTAGATAGAATGTCGGTGGCACATATTCATGTCTGAGCATAGTACACTCTCCAACTCTTTGGAAAGGTGTTTCGTATTGACCCTTTGGTGCTTGCCTGAGTGAACATGCGCTTTGCACCATGTGTGATATCTTTTTTAATATAGAACACATTTGTAGGAGTGAACTTACTCTCCTGCTGTCCTGGAAGTCTTATGGTGGATATCATTCCAAGTCACCACGTCATTCACACCTCGTGTTGCCGAGTGTCCGACTGTGAAGATCTCACCCGCCTGGAACGCCTTGCGAAGGAGCCTCGCGACCTTTACTCCTTTGGGGCTATCTGGTAGGTATGCGTCCCTGCGATCTGCTGGGTATGGGAAACCTGGGTTTGGATGCCGAGAGGTCTGCGTTCCAGCAGGTATTGTGTAGGTGATTTTTATCGTTCCACATCCGTAATGACCGGGAAGTGATGTATCCATCTTAGCAACCGTCATCTTCCCACCTTCCGGTTGTGGTCCTACAACACTGCCAAACGCTTTGCTGCACAAGGGACACTTCTCATTGCTAGTCCTCTTGAGTTCAGTAATGCATTCCTTGCACACTTGATGCTGACAAGGTAGTGTGGTGACCCGAGGAAGAGTATCCAGGTCTTCCCTGCAGCATGGACACCTGTCAATGTCAGCTGACGCCGTGCGTAATCCTGGTGCCGCTCTGCCACGTGCAACATGCCTTGGTGTAGCGCCGGGGATCTCTTCCACTCCGTCCGTGTGCCGAGGGACCTCTTCCTCTACACTTTGCCCGCGTTGCACATGGGGCATTGTGGTGTGTGGCTTAAGATTGCCGAGTGCAGCTTGGAACGCTCCCATGAGACCAGAATCAAACAGTACAATCCTGATGTCGGTCAATACTGGACGGCTGGCTGTGCTGTCAAGCGAACAGAAATCATTCATGGTGTTGAGCATGACTCGTGCACATCTGCTTGGTGCCATGCCGTACGTCCCAGAACTGATTGCCGGGAATGCGATGGACTTGGCCTTCAGCTTAAGAGCTGCTTCTTGAAGAGTGTGTAGAACTGCCAATCGAAGCAACCTATCGTTCTCACCCTGGCCGATCTCTCCACGACAATCCGGACCAATGGCATGGATGACATTGCGACAGCGAAGCTGTCCGGCTGTGGTGGTCATTATGTCGCCAGCGGGTAAAGTCGACTTCTTGCTCGCTCTGAGCTTCCTTTTGGCGTCCGTCTCAATAGCAGTCCCGCCAGCATGTGCAATTGCACCAGCAACGCCACCTGCGGGCACGAGCTTTCCATTGGCGGCGCTCACAATGATATTGACGTCGTGCCCTGTGATGTCTCCCTGATGGATAGATAGCGTGGCACCATTCTGATAGGTGCGAGTGCTGGGAGTGGACTTCTTCCAGGCAGCTTGCGGATGTGCCTCTTCCAACACTGGGGAAGGATCTGGCCTACGCTCTCTTGAATATCGACTCTGCAACCCAGCAGTTGGAACACGTGCGGCACGGCTGCTGGTTGACGTGTGCATAACATCTTGTGCAATCACTGTTTCATATCCTGGAGGCGGTGGATCTTGCAATGTGATCTCTCCAGGACCGGCTATACCATTCTTCTTCCAATGCTCAATCACGCTGTCATACTTCCTTCTGTACTGCGCTTCCTTTCCACTGGCAACCAATGCAACAAAGTTCCGCTTCTCTATGTAGCAGCTGACACTCGGTAACTTGTTAGATACATCTGCCAGCAGCCTGTCGTACATGCTGGTTGGGATGACGGCTGGTATCCTCCAGTGGGCCATGTTGTGCTCTTCCACATTATCCTTGACACCTTCCACTGCTTCGAAACACTTCTGCAAGGCTGTTTTAGACTGTGATTTGATAATGAGCTGTGACCCGTCTGATGAGAACGATAGCTGACAGCCGTACTGCTTGGCAATCGCATCCAAATTGTATTCGTCCTTCATGTACTTCAATACAGTTTCGTGCCCTGAAATCGCCTCCTCGTGGACCTTCGGAGCTGGTCGTGCTGCTGGGTGCGAGGATGTTCTGGTAGTTGCACCAGCTGCGCCTGTCTGCCTTTCGCTATGCTCGGGGCCCCGAGAGTTTCTTGTTATACCAAAACGTCCTTGGCCAACTTCGGGTGAAACTCTCCGTTGTGATGCTGCTGAACTCTCCAGCTGATCAGCAGCCTGGTCTATGCGTTCATTCGCACGTTGTGGCTGTCTTGCTGAATGCTGCTCGTGGGTGGGCTTCTTGGCTGGTGGCTGTCCAGTGGCAGTGCTGTGAGCAAGGGTGTTTAACTTGTCTAAGACATTGTCTAGCAGCTGATCTGATGATCCGCATACCAGCAGCCTAGCCTTGCCAGCTTGGGAAGGATAAAATTCCACTCCAGTTTCATCAGTAAGCTTGTCCATGAACTCACAGCCTTCATCAGATTTCATGAAAGCTGTGGTGGCAGGTGAAGCATCAACCCATCTCTCTCTTTTCTGTTCTGATCCTTGGGTTGTGTTTGTTGCAGAGTATGCTGAGGTATCAGTCACTGCTTCGGAATGATGCAAGGGTGGAGTGGAAGATGCAGGCCGTTGAAAGTTACTGGTGTGCTTGCGAGTTGCACCATCATCGTTTGCTGGCATGGCAGAATTGGGTGCCGACGTGTGGCGCCTTGGGCTGGGTTCCAAGCCGGTGTTGTCTGCAAGATTCTGTGCAATGTCCTCCTGGCAAGCACCGAGTTGCTTCCGTTGGCCCGAGAGCCTCCTTGAATTGCCAGTAGCATCAAGCTCTGGCTTATACTGTGCACTGGTCAGGTTGAGTTGGTCAACCGTGTAGTCAACCACACGCAGTGAACTGCCAGTAACGATTGCACTTGATCTGTCTTGGCTCAGCGCAATTCTCACTGCGTTCTGATGGACCATTGCCTGGATAAAGTCATTGCCTTGAGTGGAGTGCAAGAACTCTGCCAGCAGCGGTGTCATGACAATGCTTCTTACCTCCGTGCCACCATGAGGCTGCTGTGTTGGACGACTATCTCTCACTCTGGCCACTGGTCTTTCTTGGGACAATGAAGCAGACGTAGATGATGGTGTTGCGGCAGCATGTTCAGCGGCACTGGATTTCAACTCAGATATCCAATGTGCTATGTCCTGGCTGGACTTGGCACTAAACACAGCACCTTCTCTGTGCGATGAGACATCAATCTGGAGTCCGAGATGCGAGTGAGCATGCTGAACATACGCTTTTCCAGCGGATGACTTGAGGAAATCCAGAGCAACCGGTGTTAGCGAATGATATTCGACATGAGCTCTAGCGATTTTGTGCTCTCCAGCATCTGCAACCGGCTCAGCGCTATTGCCTGTCGGTGTGTCCCCAGCCTGGCCAGGCTGTGCCAGGACTCTTTCTGGCAGTTGCGGGTAAATAGATGTATGCTGGTCCGGCTGACCGGTAGCTACCTGACTGTGTGGCGGTGTTATGGTCACGTGATTATGTGACGGTATGGTGGTCACGTGACTGTGTGGCGGTGTGGTGGTCACCTGGCTGTGTGGCGGTGTGGTGAGTAGGCCGGTGACCCCAGCAGTGGTTGTTGGAGTCACCTGACCTTGTTGCTGTGCTGAGTTCGCCTGGGTGCTGTGAGCTGCAGTGGCCTGATCAGCAGTTTCACCGGAGCTTGCGAGCACATCCTTGCTTAGCAAATCTGAACTTGGGTTAGCATCCCTAGTACCTCCCTGACAGCCTTGCTTGTTTTGCACGTCTGTTGTTGAGCACTGCTGTTCATCACCGTACTGGGCTGAGCCAGGTACCACCGAACTTGTACCACTCACAGAAGGCTTGTGTTGATTCCCGGAACTTGGCACGGGCTCGTTTCCCGGCTGAGCTTCCGGATGTTTCTCTGGATGACTGCGTACTGGGGAAGGTTTATCCGAGGGCCACGGGCGTGGCTCGACTGTGATGACATCGGGCTTGGCATTGTCCCCACCCGGCGCTGCTTTGCTGTCAGCCGGCTGCGAACGGCCATTTGTTAGAGCAGATCCAGCGCTGTGCTCTATATCAGATCTCACTGCATCACTGCCGCTGCCATTGGTGACCGTCTGAGCCGCGGCAAGCGCATTGGGCTTCACGTAGCCCAGCATTCTCATCACTGTATCCTGGAACAGGACCAGTTTGTCGGGAGCTTGGGCGATGATGCGCTTCCCATCACGTGACAGTGTCGTACCGGACTGCTTGCACGCAGCGCTCAGGGAATGCGTCGTCACAGATATTGCACTTAGGAAGCCTGGACTCAGTGCAAGCGCGCATCCGTCGGATACCTACAGCACAGAGGGATTGGAGCACACAAAAAATACTTTGAAGTAGCACCAACAGCAGGCATGAGAGATATAGACAGGTGAGAGTCACTAAAAAACTTCCAGCATGGCATTTTACCAGGCATGGCTCCATCAAAGCAGCAAAGTGTTACAAATTCGAACGCACCGCGTGGGCTGATGGGAGCTGTACAGTACATGTATGCAACGCAATGATTCGTTATGATTGTGGTATGTCTTTGCATACCAGTTGTCAGTTTGACTGACTCTCGATATCTCACACCAGCAGTATCTTTTCAAGTCTCATTTTGGCTGGTAGATACAATGGCTCATTCAAGCTGACGCTTATAGCCGGTTGGCTGTGCGTGTGCTTGCGAAGCCCGATGGCCCAAGTTCGAGGTCCACGACCAGCGGTTTGGCCAAGTGGCTGTGGAGTGCCTGCGGATCATGAGTTCCCGAGTCCCGAGTTCGAGGCCAGAGCTGGCAGCAGGCGGCGTGTACTTTGCTATTGATGTATGCACCACCTCTTTTTCCTTTTTCTTTACTTGAAATTTTACAAGAAGGTGGCTGCTACAAGCGTTGGAGCTTGCGCTTCCTGCCGATTCAGTTCGTATTGAAATTTTACATGCAATGAACTGCGCCGGAGTCTCGAAGTCTTATCATATCCCTCTCACTGGGGCAGGGTGCTCTATTTGCCACCTACAGCATGGTAGTCAGACATGGTGATTGTCGCGGCGACCTTGTCGCGCGATTTGTATCATGTTTGTGCCTGTTTTTGTTTCAGTACAAAACGCTAGTTCCATGCCCACGTTCCCGTGCTTTGTATGACTTGTTCTGGCCCACGTATGCATGACTGTACATGTACTTGTCAAGGCACGTGCATGCAGCGCAGTTTGGCGCGCTTTTGCGAATGTGTTTTCTTCTCCCACGGTGGTGGGTTATGCGGCTCTTCTTGGACACGAGTGGTTTTTCAGTTTTGTTGTTCTCTAGTATTATTCTGGAAAGAGCGATTGCTACAGACTCCTTTGTCCTATGATGTGTGCCACCTGTAGGGGTGAGATCGGACTTGTGACCTGTGTTGATAAATCGAGAGATTGGGAATCCTAATCTTTCGACATGGTGCTTTAGTGACCAGAGATTTTCCTCAGTTTATTTACTTCGAAGTAGTAAATTCCGACCAGAGTGATGGAGACTATCGCCCAGCTTGTAAAGTGTAGGGCAAACACGAAGCGACGACTCACACGCCTTCGCCACAATTTAACCCGGGAGCTTGCCAAAGACGCTCCATCACCACACTACCTGCTACGAGATTGGCAGCAGGCTGAACGCCTTGCAGCTGAAATCAATGCCACACAGGCTAGAATCCGCGATCTGACCGAACAGGCGACTTCCTCGGATGTTGAGGACCGCCTGGAGCAACTCGACAAGTGGGAGTTCGAGTTCGATGATGACCTGGAAGTCCTGAGGGACGCACGTACCGTTCTACAGAGGGAGAACCCGTCCAGACTCGCCACAGCAGATGCGGAACTGGAGGCAATCACCAACTCGAGTCGATCCAGTGCCCACAGCCCTCCCCCACGACGTCCCCAGCCGCTGCCTTGACCAGCGTATCCTTCAGCCCATCAGCAGTGGTGGCCCACTCCAAGGGTCCACCTTCCGCTCCTGCGAGCCCTCCTGTGACTGCTGTTAGTCCTGTCCCTGCTACTGGCTCTCCAGCCACTCCAGTCGTCCCGTCTCCGAATGAATCTTGACCAGCATATCCTTCAGCCCATCAGCAGTGGTGGTCCACTCCAAGGGTCCACCTTCCGCTCCTGCGAGCCCTCCTGTGACTGCTGTTAGTCCTGTCCCTGCTACTGGCTCTCCAGCCACTCCAGTCATCCCGTCTCCGAATGAATCTTGACCAGCGTATCCTTCAGCCCATCAGCAGTGGTGGTCCACTCCAAGGGTCCACCTTCCGCTCCTGCGAGCCCTCCTGTGACTGCTGTTAGTCCTGTCCCTGCTACTGGCTCTCCAGCCACTCCAGTCGTCCCGTCTCCGAATGTCTCCGAAACCCCCAGCGACCAACTCGTGCGGCAGCTGACAAGGCCCGGCAGAATATTGCAAAGTGGCCAGCTGTATCGTTGCTGCATGTACACATCCCACACGCCTGATAAGTTTGACCGTGTCAGTGTGTGAGGATTAGGTGGTGCTTGGTCCAATTGGCAGTGACCTCACAAGCACATAAAACTCTCTGTATGCCTGTTTAACTGCTTGCTGTGTGTGTGTGTGTGTGTGTGTGTGCGTGTGCGTGTGTATCTGCATTGCTTATGCTCTATAAGTTACCTCCCGGTGTACATTCCCGGTCGGCTGGAGTGTCGCGGCGACCTTGTCGCACGATTTGTATCATGTTTGTGCCTGTTCTTGTTTCAGTACAAAACGCTAGTTCCATGCCCACGTTCCCGTGCTTTGTATGACTTGTTCTGGCCCACGTATGCATGACTGTACATGTACTTGTCAAGGCACGTGCATGCAGCACAGTTTGGCGCGCTTTTGCGAATGTGTTTTCTTCTCCCACGGTGGTGGGTTATGCGGCTCTTCTTGGACACGAGTGGTTTTTCAGTTTTGTTGTTCTCTAGTATTATTCTGGAAAGAGCGATTACTACAGACTCCTTTGTCCTATGATGTGTGCCACCTGTAGAGGTGAGATCGGACTTGTGACCTGTGTTGATAAATCGAGAGATTGGGAATCCTAATCTTTCGACAGTGATAATCTGGTATGAGCAAACATTACCTAAGCTAGTAGTCCCTTCCCTCGTACGTTTAACATGTAGTGTCCATGTACTGTAAGACCAGATAATTATTTTAACGTCAATTAAAGTTAGCGATCTCCGGATTTTTGTGGGTTTGCGTAGTGAAATTCTAACGAATTCTATCTCAAAAGCAGCAAATGACTGCACATGTACATATCGTTTTGCACATAACGACTTCAAATGTTTTACGATTCTTTCAAATTCGTCAACTCGTTAAAATTAAATGTTCGTTAACATTACTGATCTTACAGTACGCACGCGGCTATAGTCACCCAACTCCACACCATGGTTACGCGGCTGTACAGTGATACCCGTACATGGCCACGGATCATCATCAGTCTGAGTCAGTGTAGGGGTGCTGCATGTTACACTTGCACGCAGAAAGGAGTTTACGAAGCCCAGTAAAACATCTGTTCAAGCTGCTACATTGCAGGAGCTACTGGTCTCATGATACGCTCAAATCATGGACCATGATTCTGCCACAACCTTGTTTCACCCTAACCTTTCACCAATCATCCAGTTCCTACCTCTGGGGTCACGTCCAGGATGGGTTGGATGTACTTTGCACTTGCGGAGCTGCCCTGTGGTTCCAGCTTGACCTTCAGACCCTTCCATGACAAGACTTTCTCCACGTCTAGCAGGAGAAACAACAGGAGAAGAAAAATGAAACCCAGACCATGTCCACTCGCACCTGATGCACTACTACTAGTACTTCAAGCATCATTGCAGTCTTCTCCAAGTCAATTTTTTCTTTGAGCGATTCAGGCAAGGTACATTGGATGCATACATCGACGATGTGTTTTAGTCCATGGTCCATTACTTCAACTCATTCGAAGTACAATCATGTACATGTAAGAAGATAACTATACTAGTAGTACTATTAGTATTAATAGTAATAATACTAGTACAGTAGTAGTATAATTACGGTATTATTTTTGCAGCTGCATGAGCGTGTCTACCGCACCGGTCGCCCCTTGACGATGACCAGGCCGGGCGCACTAATTAAAGAGAGCAGATCTACGACCGTCCAGAGAACCTCCGCTTCGAACTTCATCGCCACATGGCACGGTCAGTCCGTCCGGCCGAACTCATTCATCGCCGCTGTGATCGCACACGCGTGCGGCTGCCCGTCGAACCACGTAATCAGTAATCACCTGATCACCCGAACTAGTTTTATCGAGAGCGAAAGGTGCTAGGCGTCGACATGGTGAAAACCCTACCATCTCACTGTTACTGGTTTATAGATTCAGCTTGTTCTTCACTGAATTCAGCCCGAAATCCCAATTTCCAAGACTGTCTGACTGAACAATTATGGCAAAATGAAATCCGAACGCGTTCTTGAGACTCGGAATTTTTGTCTTTGTTGTTTTGCTTGTGTCGCACAGCATGCATGATCTTTGACTTTGCGGCTATCCCGGTAGATCTACCATGTCTACGGGACTCATATCAGGCCAGGACTCGGAGAATACCGGTCCTACGAGTCGTAGAGCTACTGCAGACGGGGCGTTCGAATTGTCTTCATCAACTGTGCGAACAAATTTTTAAAAGAGATTATCGTATTTTCCCGTACACGTCTCCAATTGTAGTACAATGTTGTACAATGTTGAGTGTGGATCCAAAAAATAAAAGGACACGTCTCTAATATTAGTAATACCGTAAAGTACCGTTGATCCGCCCCCTCTCTAATTCCCGCCCCCTGTCAATTTTCTCCTTGTGAAGCGACTTCGGCGTATACAACGAAATACGATGTTGAACCGACGCATGCACTGCTGTACACAATACTTGCCAATCCAGGATCAAAATGTGCACAATCCAGCACATTGAGTCTGATCCTCTACGTTGTTGTACATCGTACTGCACTTGACAGCCTTGATCTAATTCCCGCCCCCCTGCCGAAAACTCAGCTGGGAAGCGACATGGCGTGGGGGCGGATCAACGGTACTTTACGGTAATAGTACATGCCGGAATGGTGTGATGGGCATTACTGGGGTACAGATACTGTAGGGCCTACCTTACTTCGTTTTTGTTACCCGTTTATCATCTTTGAGTCTCTGTACACTGATTCTTACCATGGATGGATGTACATTTACAGCTTGTATCATTATCACTAGTTGTTTACCACCCAACCCAGACAATCAATCTTTCCAGAAACAATAAAAGTACACGTCTCCTAGTACTAGTACAGTCTCCTAGTAGTACCAAGAGTACTCTTGGTAGTACATATACAGGTCTGACCACCTTTGAAAAAATAAAAGGACTGTACATTTTATTGGGGACAATACGGTAATTGAAGTGTCCCAATAGAAGAGTTGCTATCATTTTCGAGTTTTTCAGTGGAATTGTCATGACGATAATGACACCCGATCCGATTAGGCATATGCGGATACTGCCGGCAGAAAGAATGGCAGAATTCGATACTTTTTCTGGTAAGTTTCATGCATGTTTGGTATGTGGATAAAGAAATGGAGCAGAATTCGAGGAATTGCCCGCCATACGGTTTGTATGGTTCTGCCAATGTCACTGCTTTTCGAGCAGAATCTGCCACCTTTTCGAGCATTATCCGCACACCCCTAGATCCGATCGACCATCTCGACGTAGCTATTCCAAACTCTTCGGAACTTAGGCCGCGTTCGAATTGTCACTCTTTGACTTTTCGACTGGAGCTTCGTTTTTCTGAAGAGGTGGCCTTATTGGCCTCTTCAGAAAAACGGAAGTCCTCGAAACTCCACAACCTCATCCGATGGGAGAGGTGGATTAGTTCCGAAGAGTTTGGAATAGCTACGTCACCTGGTCACGTAGTACGTGGGGATGGTCGATCTGATCGGACGTCATCATCGCCAAGGCAATTCCACTGAAAAACTCTAAAATGACAGAAACCGTTCTAATGGGACACTTCAACTAATCTCTTTTAAAAATTTGTTCGAACAGTTGATGACAATTCGAACGCCCCCTAATCCACCTCTCCCATCGGATGAGGTTGTGGAGTTTCGAGGAGTTTCGTTTTTCTGAAGAGGCCAATAAGTCACCTCTTCAGAAAAACGAAACTACATGTACATGTACTCGAAAAGTCGAAGAGACCATTCGAACGCACCCTGAGTCTGTAGATGCTGCGCGCGAGCCTAAGTCAAGACTCCCTGCGGATAACTGATGTATTCGTACACGCTTACTGTTCTTGCTGTTCGCCTATACTAGATTCTAAATTCTATTCTAGGCTTGCATTGTAGTCTACATACGCTACAGCACTCAGTACTATCTCCACTGTACTGTTATCACGAGACTCATACACAGGTCATCTTGACATTTTCCTGGTGTCTTGACATTTTCCTGGCCTGGTGTCTTGACATTATTAATATTATATGAGCTAGCCTGTCACTTGTCAGGCTTGCGAGTCTTGGTCTGCAGAGCAGCGCGGTGACCATGATGAACATGGTGAAGGCGACGCAACACCCGGTACCCCGTGTTCATGTCTCACTTCTCGTTAGCGCTCAGGCTCATGCATGTTTCATACAATCATGGCGGGCTAGGAAAAGGAGTGGAATTCACGGAATGGCTTTGTATGGTTTTCCCGTTTTCATTGCTTTTCGAGCAGAATCTGCCAATCTTTCAAGCAATGTCGGTCAGAGCCTACTACAAGACAAGCGCAGTGCTTTGTTTCTGCGACATGCGAGTCGTGTGATTGCTGCGAAATTTAAAAAAAATTAAATATGACAGGGCGATCAAAAGCAATGATTGCAGATGATGGTTTTCCTGGCCAACGTTGAATTTTTTTAATTAATATATGACAGGGCAAGCAAAAGCAATGATTGCAGATGATGGTTTTCCTGGCCAACGTTGAATTTTTTTAATTAATATATGACAGGGCAAGCAAAAGCAATGATTGCAGATGATGGTTTTCCTGGCCAACGTTGAATTTTTTTAATTGAAATATGACAGGGCGAGCAAAAGCAATGATTGCAGATGATGGTTTTCCTGGCCAACGTTGCTCTGGCCTAGTCTAGGTCTCCGGGAAATGGTCCGATCTGAGATACCGCGGAGCTGTCAGTGTCCGCTGATCAGTTGGCCATGCGCCAGGGGAGATCTTTTACCCATGTACACACCGGAGGATGTACCCAGTGTTCTGACAGTGCTCAACGCCGCGGAGGCAGAGCGTAATACAGAGCAGAACATCAAGGGCAGTCAACCCATGTACACACTTGAGGGATTGTGTTTGAGACAGTATACCATGGAAGACTGAGCAGTGTAAAGATTGACAGTTCTGATTGACAGGCTTGTTCTTGGCGTTCATTTGATCTTGAAGTACATTGTACAGCACTGCACCACGGTCCGTAATGCCGGCGACTCTAGCTGTATGCATACTCGCCCGACGCGTCGACCGGACACCGCATGCAACGATGTACGGGCATTATGTACATGTCCTGTACAGGCCCCCAGGCTTCTCTTCTTGGGTTGAGCAGTCTTTGAGTTACCAGACAACTATCGCCTGGCGTGCTTATAGCAATACAGATAGCAACACTAAAATGCCCTAGTCCGGATTACTAATACTTGTAGTAATAGTACCAAACGTACATCATACGGTCATGTAACCCCGTCCACTCTAACCTATGCACACGGCACACGGAGGTGTTGATTCATGTATCATAGTATAGCACTAGGCACAAGTTTGGATTTGCACTGGATTTAGTGCTCCTACATTGTATCTCCTCTGCTTAGCTACATGTACATGTATAGTATGCCTGCATTGTTTATATTATTATTATTAGTGAAACTCGGAGTTGCGACAAAGCTTCCAAACTCTCTCTCTCTTGTATTATTATTATTATTATTATTATTATTATTATTATTATTATTATTATTATTATTATTATTATTATTATTATTATTATTATTATTTGTAAGAAAGGTTTGCTCCCCACACCGGAGCTCGCGCTATTCCGCCGACTTTTCTTGACACTTGACTGACTCACGACTGTGTATTGAGGGAGTGGTGCTTTCTTGCAGGTTTGCCGAGTCGAAGGTTCGATGGACTTCTCGTGTGCTCTGGATGGCAGTCGTGAGTCAGTCAAGTGTCAAGAAAAGTCGGCGGAATAGCGCGAGCTCCGGTGTGGGGAGCAAACCTTTCTTACAAATCATCGCCGAAATCGCAACCACTACTTCGTATTATTATTATTATTCCTTATTCTCACTCACTGCATGGGATTTTCGGTCTTTGACCACATGCTGGTGAGCTGATCTACTCGCCTCCTACCGCTTTAGGAGCTGCATCTGCGCCTTGATCCTTGAAGGGTGGTGGCGTTCCTACGGATGCGGAAAACTCGGCCTCTACTAGTATAGAGCAACCGAGTCTGACGCGAACCGTGACATTTTTTTACTTTTTTATTCTCACGATTGCGGCTCCGGCGCGCCAATAAGAGTTCCTATCTCCTTCATTGTTGTCTGATGTTTGGTTGTTGATCCATGAACATCAGTGTTACAATCAAATAGGATCTTACTTTCCTTTGTGTACCTCTTGTGCAACCTCGGGCCGGTTATGTACTCTTGCCAGGTTGGTAATACAGATACGCAAGGTTTAACTGGCCGGGGTACTTTTGACCATGCGACCCTTACCTTGTATGTGTTTGAGAGCCACCCTGAAAGCTGGTGGAGTCGCATCCTGTAGCCATTGGATTCCGACCATTTGTCCACCAAGCTTCTTGCGCAGCCTGGACTCGATGCTCGATTCCAATGCGTATTGCGTCACCGATGGTAGTAGCTGGTCGAAGCCGGAGACGAGCACTGCTGGGTATTGGTCAAGATTGGCCTGGCTGCCTTCATCATCGTCACTTGATGTAGCCATCGCGTATGTACGCTTGCTTCACTGTGCCACTCGTCAACAGAACAAGAACTTCTCCCAAGATCCAAAAAAAACAATCAGCCGTCTGCGCAAGCGAATGACCGTTGCTTTTGACCCTGCGCACTAAACGACTCTACAAAGACATATTCAATTACAGGCCTTTTTAGAGGTTCAGCGGAGGCGGTGCTGCGGATATGGGCCCCAGCGTAATTGCTGGCCGGATCCTTCTACTGCTTAGGCCTTCCGCCTTCTGGAACACGAAAACATCAAAGCTGCTGTGCTCGCTCTCCAGAACGCCGAACTGCTGTCGAAACTTTGCGAAAGATCAATAATTGTATCCGGGAAGTACTCAGTCCGCAGACCGCATGACCTGTCAATTGGTGCGGGTAGTGACACTTCGTGGTTGGACGACTGACGAATGACGCACGAACTGAATTCTCCGACTTGACACTATCCGTGCTGGCGATGCCAGGGGTGTGCGATCAAGAGTGGTAGCCAAGCGGGACTTGCTGCCGATAGGATACCAATCATTATTATAATATTATGATTATTCTACGTGATGACACGTGATGACACTTGGTGACACATGGTGTGGCGCCATTGGGCCGTCGCGGAAAAGTGACAATCTTGCACGATACCAGAACAGCTATGTGCTGACGGAGCAACAGCGTAGGTATCGCTGGGGCTTGGCTGGCGTGAACTCAGTGATATATGGCCAAGTTCGCTCACAGGATATTTCAGTTTGAGAATCTTCTTTGAAAGCCTACAAGGAGATTTTCACCATCCATCGTCGCTCTGAAGCTTGTTCAACCCACAGGCCACAGGAAAGTGAAGCAATGTGACCATGGCCGCACAGCTGCGACTAGAAGTCCATGGTGACACACGCTGGCTCACGTCACAAGACCTGGTGGACGAACTCGAAAGGCGTAATATCTGTGTGAACGTGGTCGGTCGTTATGAAACCCGAACTGGACTGGAGTTCATCGTGGAGGCACCATGGGACGGTAAGGAACCTGTGCGAATCCTCTCCCTTCTCTTTCCTTCTTCAGGTGACGACATTATTCAGCATTCGGCAGTAGAGTAGAGCTCCTGTTGGTATACGTGACTAGGTAGAGATACCGTGCATCTACTCGTATTCGGAGCGTCTGTCTGTTGGTTAGCCTACACCAATACACTTTCAACATGTACAATGTATTGTATTTCGAAGTACATCAGTGTAGTCTTTCATACGTCTATTTCCAAATTCTATTTTTTAATACTAGATCTAGATCTACATGTAGGGGTGCGCGGATTATTCCCGGAATAATGTGGGAATACTATCGTCGAGAAAATTTTGGGAATTTTAGAGGAATTCTATCGATCTTTTGTCAGATCCGCCCATTGACCTTCAGAAGAGTTTTGGGGGAATTCTGTCAAGTTTGACCTGCCAGAGAACAAGCGCGCATCCATGGACGCACGTACATGTACATGTACATGCAGCAATGCCAATACCCGGACACGACATACAGTAAGATCGGGCGCCGAAGAACGCAGGGGCTCGAGCGCAGCCTAGGAAAGTTCTTAAATTTTTGATTCTAGCCAGACCGTTCTTATTCACACGCGCGCGGCGAGTCGAGTGACGTCATGACGTTTGTCATGTACATGTATGTACATGTAGTGCAATGACTATGTAGAACTTCTAAACTAGTGGGTGTCGTAAATTAAATGGGAATGATTGTACATGTAGCAGTTACTGTTTACACGTGTACATGACATGTACTCACCTCCCATACATGTACAATGTAGATCTACGTGTAAATTCGCAACTTCGTGTAAGTACATGTATGAAAATTTTAAAAGTGTTCTTAAATCTGATAATTCTAGCCTGGACTGTTCTTAAATTTTGCCGGTTTTCCAGCCTGGGTGTTCTTCGGCGAGGTGTTCTTCGGCGCCCGATCTTACTGTAGTAGCTGTGTATATACAGTCAGATGTAGATCTAGTACGTATACATGTAGTGTAGATCATGCAGTGATCACGTGCCTGACCGTCCATTTTGCATACTAAAGAGCATGCGCAAGGCACGGTTCCATGCTGGGGTTCTTTTTTTGGGGGGAATTCTGGAGAATTTTTCGATGTTTTGGGAGAATACTTTCGAAGTTCCGCGGGAAATGCCCGAAAGCATAATATCGGTTGCGTGCGAGCATAATCCAGATCCATGTAATCCGCGCACCCCTATCTACATGTAGGCTGGTACCATGGTATTTTGGTATGGTATTGATTTATTTGAATTCGGTATCTCAACAGTACAATGTACAACTAAGATCCGAATGACATAGATACATAAACATAAAAGTGGAGTAGGTGCTACAGCTGATCATTTTATCGCAGGTTGTGGGATGGTATGTACCTGGTAGCACCGACGAGTTCTCGATCTAAACCAGCTGCTTGGTGTTTATAGGCCACTGGCGGTAACCATGGTAGCTAGTGAAATCGATGAAGAATTTTCACCACGAAGATCGTGTAAGCTTAAGCGTGTCATGTCCTTGATCTCCCCGTTTGGCGACGCCATCTCTAATCATTCAGTGCGCATGCGTGAAGTTACCATTATGCCGCGCGCGTGTCGACCTGTGCGGGCCGGCTGTAGTGTAGATCTGGTAAAATAATGCATACTAGCTGACCATGGCCGCATGGGCATGGATTGGTTGACGGCTCAGCCATGTTTTTTTATCTTCTGTCCAGGCAGAGGATCACCATTACTAGAGAGGTTTAGCACAACGAAATTCGTCTGAATTTTCGTTAGATTTTGAAGCCCGGGGACGAGTAACGAAACTTGCCACGAACTTCGGGACACACACTCGCGGAAAACATCAATCCAACGAAGTTTGGTCTGTCGACTTTTCGTACCGCGATCACATGAGAATTTTTCCTTTCCTTTCGACATTTTTTTCTGAGGTTCTTGTTTTCACGACCAGAATGTCTGCGCCGAACTCAAATCCTGCAGTCTCTGCAGCTGCTGTTACCTCTGGTGATCAGGAGGGACGACGACTTACGTGGGATACACAGATGGATCTCATGATGCTCCGCCTTGTGAGGTCGATGCCGTTTCTTGCGGAAATCACGCACGAATGGAGAAGCAGCTCTGCTGCTTTCCCAGAGCGATGAGAGATTTGCTGGGCTGAAAAAGAAAGGGCTTGTGGATCGGTTTCATCTCCTACTCAAGAAGCATTCGAGTGGTGAGGCCACCAGTTTACGATAGTCGGGGAGTGACGAGGATTACTATTAATTTAAATTTTTTGTATTTCGCGGGGATTTCAGCGACATCCACGGTATCCACTAGCGACACCGAAGTTCGTGGAGAACGTTCTGCTAAACAAAAATTCAGCGAATTTCGGTCGGCTTTTTCGTACTGCGGCATAACGAAAATGAACAACGAATTTCGTTGTGCTAAACCTCTCTATTTTCTTGTTTCCCTTTCGTTGTTCGGCTTCACTCGGAATTTTTTGTAGTTCAACGCGCATGTTGGTAGATGTACAGTCCACCCCGGACGGGTCGGAGCGACCGAGGATGGTTGATGTTCAGACCTTCAGCTACTAGCAAATTAATTGCTCTTGTACAGACCTATGCTATAGCGAGTGCGTCTTCGCGCTGATTGAAAATCATGTCAGGCATGCCACTGGGCAGGAAGTCGTACAAACCTTCTCTCGGATTCCTCGACACGCGGTCGCAGAAAAACTATCCGCACCAGTACCAAAAGGAGGTCATGGATATCGCTTCAGATCCGAGGAGCCACCTGGTCCGGACGCGCGCTCATACTTGAATTTTCCGTCCTAGCTCTGTTGCGGGTGACACTGTCAGCCAGGGATCGATCCGGGAGGGCTTTCACGACTCCCTGCCCCTGGTTGTCAACCCATCCTCACCATCAGCAACGCCATTTTGTAAGTACATGCTCGCTGCAGTGTCGTATTTTGGCGGAGACCCATCGTCACGGGCTATCGACCATTTACAATGTACAAGTCAGTGTAGTTCGAAGACGGTCGCGACGTCCATTGATAGGTAGCGCAAGTACCAATGAAGGTCGCAAGCGAACCGTCGTCACACATCCTTGTATTTCTGTGGGTTTTTTTACAAGTGCCCCTGGGCTCCAGTCTGGTTAGAATTGAGGATCAAAAGGGTGGCGACACCTAGTGCATTCGGCCGACCTTGGGTCTTGGTCTTGCTATTCAGTCAGCACATAATGACAGATGCTATCGCAGCCTAGAGGCAGACCTCCTAAAGCACAGTCAGTGGTGCACATGCGTGTTCGTGCCTTGAAGCTACTTCAGAAAAGAGAATAGACTGAGAGGACTTCGAACACGTACATGATTGTGCAGTATGCATGGTGTCCACAGGGCCAGTTAAAGGGGAAGTTAAGGCTAAAATCAAAATTTCACCAGTTGTAGTCTTCGGATCGGGGTGCTGAGTCGAATGGTCGTGGTCCGAGGAAGCTGAGATGCTCCCTTCCTACTTTAACCCTTTATGTACCAGCCATCTAATGTATGTAAGGGGCGATCGCAGCCAAAGAAGCAACCATGGTATGAAATCTAGACAACTTTTGTATATGCAAGTTGTGTTTTCCTGACTCCATATGTATCACTGCACCCAGGTAAGCATGGATATTGGGACAGCATGCAGTAGTATATGAAGGCCATAGGTGGAATACCAAAGATACGCGCCAATTGTGCATATTTCTGACCAACCAGGGTATCACAAACAAATAGACTGAGAATTAGTTTGTGCTCATGTACTGGGAACATAGGGACGAAACAACCTCATAAGCGTTGTCTCAGTGCATGAAGAGCAACAACATACCAGGGATATGGTCATATTGTCACATATTTGAGGTGAAACAATTGGTTCAAAATTGCAAATTTTGAATTCTTGTGTCAGATTCGAAATCTATATTTTTCTTCATCTACTCACATCCAGCGTAAGGTAAGTGAAGGAGAAGACAAGAAGCAGTCGCTGGCTGGTGAATTATGCCTGCCTTGACGATTTAGGCCATCGCTGCCCTCCCTCTCGCCCCTGTTTTGAGAGCGAATACTGCGATGGGATCAGCGATACAAATTTGCAATTTCGAGTCGCATTCCGTGCCGACATCGCCACAGCCGATCTCTCCAAGCGTCCACCACATGTAGAAGACGTCGACATGACCTAGAACAAGCTACATCTTCGCTACAAGCAGAGAAACTGAGCGAGAACACGATCGAAACAGCGACAATTGTTTGCGCTGAAAAGCATACTTTTGAACGCGTTCGTTCTCCATACTTTCAAATGGCAACCTACCCATATCATACATCAAAATTTTCAGTGGGATCTCAGCTGTCCAGCGCAAAAAAAAACGCGTGTCGATCGGAGCTACGGCGGCGGGGACCGGCGCGCTTGATTGGAGTGCAGCGAACCGTACCATATGGTACGGTTCGAGATGGGGCTGGTACACAAAGGGTTAATCCCAATCGAACTCGCGCACTTCCACCGAAACTGGGTGACTGCGCCCTACTAGATGGGGATTTGTATGCAAAATGTCACTAAAAGCGCCATTTCGTTCTTATAAAAGCACGGATGACCGCTATTGGCCCATATGTTGTAGTCTTCTGGACGCTGAGTCGACTGGTTTTGGTCCGAAAAGGCTGCAATGCAGCGTTCCTCCTTTATTCCCAATCCAACATGGTTGTACAAGCGGTCACGTGCTCCTGCGTACACCAGTCACCTGGTCACCGTGCCTGCAGGGTACAGCTTACTAGCCTGTTTGACCGTTTTTGGGTGCAGTCCTGTCACTCGAGTTGAACTCGAGTTGAACCTTGGTGTGAAAGTTGTCGCCTGCTGGCGTGGTGACCAGGTGATTTGGGCACCCAGGAGCACATGACCGCTTGTTCAACCACGTTCGATTGGGAATAAGGGCCGAACGCTGCATCGCAGCCTTTTCGGACCAAAACCAGTCGACTCAGCGTCCAAAAGACTACAACATATGGGCCAATCGCGGTCATCCGTGCTTTTCTAAGAACGAAATGGCGCTTTTAGTGGCATTTTGCATACAAATCCCCATCTAGTAGGGCGCAGTCACCCAGTTTCGGTGGAAGTGCGCGAGTTCGATTGGGATTTTAGTAGGAAGGGAGCGTCTCAGCTTTCTCGGACCAAGACCATTCGACTCAGCACCCCGAAGACTACAACTGGTGAAATTTTGATTTCTGCCTTAACTTCCCCTTTAATGAGTTATAGGCGATTCAGACTGCGGCCAAAATCACGTGTGAACTTGAGTTTCCATGGAGATGCAGTCGTGTTTCAAAATTGTATGCACAATCTCTGATTAAATACGTCTGAGTCGTAGAAACGTCGTCACAGTTGGCCGTAATCTGAGTCGCCTATTAAAAGTTTCTGCAAACTGAACCTTGACGGGGTCACCTTGCAGCAGGCTTGTATTGTGCCCGGCTGGAAACAATAAAAGATTGATGGCAATGCTGTCCTTGAAAATACTTTCCCGTTTGAAGGTTATTGCTTATCAGTGTGCACTATGTTTTCTGTTGCTATTCTTGCAGTGCTCACCACGCTTCTCCATCATCCCGGGACGATCAAGGGCTTGAGTATTTCCGCTGCACCTCACGCGCCATCAGTGAGCTATGGCAGCTATGAGAAGCGACAGCAGCGCCCAGCAGAGCAGCCTGACCACAGTTCATCCACTCAGCACACCCCAGGGCCAAGTGCACAGCCCACACCACGGCCTAGAGCCAGGAAGAGAACCGGAAGTGCGGTGCAAGATGAACAAGCGGGGAAACCCAGTTCACTCCATGCCGCTAGCAGTCAACATCCTCCTCTGCATACCACACCAGACACCCACAGTAGACCTGGGCAGGCACCGTCAAATTTTTCCACACCCCCTGCCGAGT